AGAGAAAGCTTGGAAAAATTATGCAAATTGTCGTAAACATGACTCTAAGTCTCACTGTTGTCTATTGAATAAAGTTGACTGTTCAGGGACTACACTCTTACAGATAGCATTGACACACCCTGTACCTCCTTTAATTAAACATTAACCTCTTTGTTAATGACCTCGAACATTAAATTTGCTTTTTTTTCTTGTTCCTTTTTTTTTCACTTAAGACAGAGTTTAGACGAATACGCCGACAACTGCAATGAAGCTTTCCCAGATATAACACAAACAATAGCTGCCTAGGAAGACCGTCAACTTCCCTTTGTCTACCATCTATCAAGTATGAAGACACACACGTATAGGCGCAGCTGCGGAGGAAAACTGTTAGTGCACTGGTAAGTAGTTTTTTTCGTTTTCCTCCCCCGGTGATAAGCGAGCCTTTTGTGTACTGACTATGCACTCTCCTTTTTGAAATACCATGTCTCTGGCAACAGGCAATAACCCCGTAAACCAGTATTGGGAAGTGACCATTGAGTACATTATGCATCTTGACCGTAAAAGCTTGGTAAAGAAAAGATTTATTGTATTAGTGATGGCCAAGAGACCTTTTTTTGTACGACGAAAGCGGAAAATATCGAGCCGGCAAGGTAGGCTCATGTCGCCCGTTTAGGGAGCCAATCTTAACACAAGAGTCGTTTTTATCTAGCTGGATCGTGGCACCAGCCTTATAAACGTACATTAAACGTTAGGTTGTGTTTTCAGGATCTGAACACGTGCATCACGACTCTGTACAAAGACCGCTGGCTTCAAATAAACTGTTCATTACAGTAACCTTACAAAGTAGCGTTCTTAGTAGCGTTCTTACACACAGCAAACCTATGTATTGTACATAGTACACCATATGTATAATGGGGTCATTACACCGCCCTGTATTCCTTGTTCCCCGCAATGAAAAAAGTACAATCGATAAATAAACTGCAAAGTTTGTGTGATGAAAGCGCATTACATAAAACAGGATATTCATTAATACTAAAAAAGAATTATGTGTTTGAGTACTTTCCATTTGTACTTGTGGCAAGGGACATGAGCCATACACAATAAACAGACATTCAATGCCAGGACGTGCTTTTATCAAGATATTTCTTGCTCTCTACCCTGCCTGTGCTGGTAACCCTGTGTTCATGCATCTTCCCAGCATGACTTGAACACCTTATGATAGCTGAAAATGCCCTGGTCATTATGATGAAGTCCTGTTTGTATTTCCAGAAACCTTTGCAGGTTGAGTGTACAAAAGATGAATTTTATTGGGAATGGGACGTTTTAAAAGTGTTACAAAAATGGTCGTTAATGAATGGTGGTCGGTTACGAGAGGTACTAGCAGTGGAGGTTTTAGTGAATCTAGTTGCGCTGTAAACCTGTAATAATGAATATATAAGTAGATAAAGGTGTTTGGGGAGGGAGTAGAGTGTGGGGGTGAATAGCCGGTGGAGGAGAGGGTGGGAGGCTAGAGAGAGATGCCATTACTAATGGATTTCAACAATTGAAAAATAAGAGACTGCGCAAGTATTGACTATATGAACGTCTACATTCTCACAGATAGTATTAACAAACCCCGCACTTCTTTATTCATTTATCATGCCTGTAGTTGCTGCGACATCTAACGATGCATTTTAGTTTATTTTACTTTTCACAGCTTTGTGACCAAGACATCACTGTCGATAATTCCATAGACTAACAGAACGCTTAGACTGCCACAAGTCACCAATGAAGTCTGAAGACGCTCACCAATGCAAGTAGCTTTAAGAAGGAAAAGGTAATTAATACCCGTTCTTTCTCTTCTTCTAGTAACAGTCGAGCTTTTTGTCTGACTACCAGCCTCGTTCTTGTAATACTATGTTTGTACAAACAGATGGTAGCTAGAATTGGACATATAATCCAGTATTAGTTAGTGACCGAAAAAGAAAGGTGGTTCGTTCTAGATACCCTTCAGTTATTGTCCTGCATACAAACCACTGTACACATTTTATACTTTAGTGATGAAAGGGTACACTGTGCCAGGAAATTTGATAATTCGAGTTGCTCAATTTCCAACAGCCATACGCAACTAAATAACCTTGTTGGCATGACAACAACTTAGATGAAAAAGAAAACCGTGTGTGAAGTGATTTGTATAAGGTTACTCGGCTCGTTCTCAATCGGTATAGAATGTTGTATACGCGAAGTTTAACCCTTTATGCCCTAAAAGTGATCAATGTCATATTTCTCCTTGTAATATCAATGCTTTGTAAAACAGAGTGGTCATGAGAATTACAAACCTGATCACACAAGATGAAGTCGCTTGATATTTTATCAACCTCTCCCCACTACTTCTGTAGGAACTGAATAGGGGCAACAAATGAGAATTCAAATTTTGATCTTGGGGTTCAAAGGGTTAAAAGATGTTTAAGGTCGCACCTTGTCAGGGTGTGTTACAGAAGACTGAATTTGGGATCTTATGAAACTGTTTTAAGGTTGAGCACGGAAACTGGATTGTTGCCACACGCTGTTAGATTCACTTTGCTGAAAAAAATGTAGTTGTTTAAATATAAATATTTTTATCCGTAGGTGTGCTGTACCTTCCTCATGCGCACAGCCCCATCAGTCGGCCAGCTGTTTGGACCAGCCTGTTAGTTGCGCTGGTATATTCATGCACTTTGCCATTATTTCAGCAGCTTATGGGACGTGCATGGAGCTTAAGAATCCATGGTCACTTTGATGCAGTCCTGTTCATATTTCTCAGAAATCTCTACAGGCTGAATTAGTCAAACAAAAGACCAACATTGTCGGTAAGAAGTTTTTTTATAGACTTTGTAAATCCTATGTGGATTTTACTTCAGAACACGTGCCAATCCTAATGCCCGGTTTCCATATGATCGCTCAATCGCTAAAAAAAAAAAAAATTAGTGATCGCAGGAATTATAGCGATCATATGGAAACCACTCCCCAGCGATCGCAGCGACAACGATCCCTGAAATCGAACTTTTTCTATCTCAGCGATCGCTGGAAAGTGGTTTTCATATGATCGCTATAACCGCTGCGATCGCTGAACTTTTTTTATCTCAGCGATCGCAGAGATCACATGGAAATCGGGCTTAAGTGTCTCTTGAAAATGTGGCTAGCAGCTACATGCGCAGTTCACCCTCTAGTCCAACCTCTTCCCCAGAGCTTTTTCCTTTAGAAAATGGGAGGGGTGTGAAGGGATAAGGTTGTCTGTTGCTGCCGCATAGTCAATTGGCCTTCAATACCTTGTTTAAATTATTTCTCTTCGTCTAAATAGTCGGTTCCAAGTTTTTCCTGGTCACGAGGCAAATTTTAAACAGCTTTAATGAAAGTAGACTTGAAACCATTTGAAATTAAATCATTTCAGTTCTGTAATACATTTACTCACTGTATTATTTTATAAGGTCATTTATAATTTATTTATTTGCAGGGTTTTACTTGGATGGATAAGAGGACAATGTTATGATTTTTTTACTATATATTAGATTTACGTCTTTTCTGGAGTGACCGTTTCCTTTAAGGAGAATTAATTATAGGGGTTTTTCCGTTAATCTAGTTTTCAGAGAAAAGAGATTTCGTCAATAGAAACGATGTTTCCTTCCCAGGGCCCAGTTGTTCAAAGGCCGACTAGTGCTAACCTGAGGTTAAATTTTAATCCCGGTTTCTCTTCCTTTAATTCGAAAGCATTTTCTCGTATAATTTTCTCTATTCTTTTAAGATCATCCAATGATCATATTCTAGACAAAAACAATACAAACTGAATATGCTTTTTAAGCTTTCAAATCTGAATTCAAATTTTGCACTAATCCTGGGTTATCTTAACCCAGCTTTGAACAACTCGGCCCTGGAGTCCTCTATTGCTCAACGGTAGAGTACTACTGCGCGCTCACTAGTAGTAACAAAAGATCATAGGTTCATGCACTACCATTAGGATTTTTTTCAACATTCTTCAGCAGCGGATCCAGGGGAGGGGCCCGGCCCCCTCCCCCCTATTTTTAGACCAAACTGAGGCTCGAAGGTTCGAAAAAGGTTCTTTTTTGGAGACTGGGCCCCTCCTTATGTCATGGTCTGGATGACCAGGCACCCCCCTTATCTTAAGGTCTGGCTGTTCTTAGATACATTTTACAATCTTCAGATGTTCTAAACATTCTTCGATTCCTTGTAACCTTTAATCAGTAAATGAAGTTGCTATTTTGAAGATCAGTAAAAAGTAATCAGTATTTTGCAATGCAATGTTTCAATAAAAGATAAATTACTTTACTTCAATGTGGCTTTTTGTCAGCGATTATTTGTGTAATGAATTATCCATAAATCTTTACAGTGCATCAAATCTATCAGTGGTCTACAAATGTTTAAGGCTTCTGTCTACACTAACTTATCGTTGAAGAACGACAGGACAGGGTGTAGTTTTACCTGCCTGGTTTACATTAAAGATCGAGGCTTTTGAACTGTCATTTAGAGATACAAAATGGGATGGTTTGTCTACGGTTATTAACATTCTCGCGCGCAAGGACGTCACAGTGCAAAGGCGTAAGTTTGTAAGGGCACGTTCAACTTACTTGGACTGTGGAAGCTTAAAATGTATCAATCAGGTCGATCCGTCGGACTGCCATTTTGGGTAAAATGAGCTCTTTAATTTTACCATCTTGTTCAGAGGTTTGTCTCAATAGCTCAATCTTCATACGTGCTATTCGCGGTGTTATTGTGGCGCCGGATAAAGCAGAGGTCGAAGGCTCGAATCCGAAATAGATTTTTTTTTCCCTGTCCTTTACTTTAGTCATTACCAATAGCGCCCACACAAAAAAACATATTTTGGGTTGGGAGAACAAATTATGTCTACATCTTTGTTTATTAAATATCTACACGCAAATAAACTCCTTGAGTTCCCATTTTGTTTTGGGGGAGGGGTGGGCCACCTCTTAACGTAATTAACATAAGGAATGCAAAAGAGCAAAGGAATTAACTAACGGAGAGAGGGGGGGAGGGGAAATAGTTCAAACAAGAAAGAAGAATGGTGTGGTTAGTCATTTGTAAATTCCAGAAAGACTGTGCAGTTTATATTCAAAGCGTTGTTACTCAGACAAATGATACACACGTTTTAAAAGGGGGTGGGGCTTTGCAGAATTACTGAATTCCCTTCCCCCGGCCTACTCGGCTGTGTGGACGAAATGTTAGGTTAAGGGAGGGGTAGGTAGGCAGTTTCTCCAGTTTCTTATGCTTACTCCACACTTTAATTTATCGCATGCGCGTGAACAGTCCAAACAGTATTCAAAGTAGCAAATACCTCGGAACGAATTGACATTTCCAAACCCACAGAGGAACACCATCTGAGCACCAGGTTAGACAAATTTTACGCTTAAAATTCCTTTTCTAACATACTGCTCCCTAAATCAACGCCGCATTGAAACGAACGCTTCATCAAAGACCGAAATTGATGTATTAAGAGCCACAGCGTTCATTCAAGTAGCCATGGTAACCATGTGATACAATAGCGGCTTGGTTTAGACTGCTTACAATTTCATAATTTCCTTAAAAGCATCGAGGGAGGCGTGGAAGGTGGGCACTACCTCGAATCACGCGCATCGCCTATTATGCAGTATTGTTAAAAGGGGACTTTTGAAGGAAGTTTGGTATCAGGCAAAGTCAATCATACATTTGATTTCCTTCGGTGCTTCGGAGCTGGTCCGGTTTGAGATTACATGACCATCCAGCTAGCTCGGTTATAGCAGGAAAGCCGGTCAAAATGGGTAATGCTATGATCAAAGTCAGCTCGGCAAAGCGAGCCAACTCGGCTCATTTAATCACCAATGCGTTGGAGGTTATATACTCAGGCAAACAGTCAATACCAATATTAGCTACCGACTCTTAAAAATATTTTCTACGTAATGATTTGATCAACAGAAATTCATAGGTTAAAATACACTCAAAAAGATCAGAATTTGGGCCTTACTCGAATTGACGAAAAAAAATATCAGACTTGGTTATGACAGATTATCAGTTAAAAAAGATACCTAATTATCTTTATTTAATAAAACTTTCCGTTTTTCTGGCGTCAGAGCTTTGTGGTGTAGCGGTGAGAGGGAGAGCAATTGTTCAGAAACGCCGGGTTCGATTTCGGATCACTTCGGGTTATGATTTTTTTTTGGTTTTATTTTTTCTTGTGTTTTTTTTTTTTGCATCAGCATCAACTGTTTAGAAAAGGGAAAGAAATACTTTACAAGCAGTTGAAATTGTCAATTTTTTTTCTGCTAGTAAATGTGGTTAGTCATTTGTAATTCCAGAAAGACTGTACAGTTTATATTCAGAACGTTGTTACTCAGACAAGTGATACACACTTTTACATGGGTGTGGGGCTTTTTAATGATTGCACACTGCCGCTAATAAGCCCTGGGTTACACATCTTCGTAAGGGGTTTTAGAAAGGCTTATAAACAAAGGGGCTTGTATCCGAGTAGGCCTATAATCAGATTCAAAATATAATTTGTATCTACTGATGTTTTGTATTTCAAAACGTCATAATAAATCAAATTCTCTTCAACACATTTGGAGGCCTGGGGTTTATATCAGAGGAAGCCTTATGATCGGTTTTATTTTATGCTTATTTGTAGATTGACCTATGATTGGTTGGGAGGGGAGGGAGGAGGGGGGGGGGGCTTATAAGCGTCAGTTTGCGCTATTGCTAAATTGCCTTTCCCCACTCGGCTGTGTGAGCAAAATGTTGGGTTAAGGGAGGGGTGGGTGAGCAGTTTCCCCAGACTCTTATACTGACTAAACAGTTTTTCATCACGTGCGCGTGAACAGTCCAAACAGTAGTCACAGTAACAAATACCTCGTAACGAATTGACATTTCCAAACCCACAGAGGAACACCAACTGAGCACCAGGTTAGACAAATTATACGCTTAAAATCCCTTTTCTAACACACTGCTCCCTAAATCAACGCTGCCTTGGAACGAACGCTTCATCGAAGACCGAAAAATGTATTAAGCGCCACAGCGTTCATTCAAGTAGCCATGGTAACCATGTGATACAACAGCGGCTTGGTTTAGACTGCTTTCAGTTTCATAGTTTCCTTAAAAGCATAAAGGGAGGCGTGGAACGAGGGCACTTCCTCGAATCACGCGTATCGCATATTATGCAATATTGTTAAAAGGCGACTTTTGAAGAAAGTTTGGTATACAAAGCTAATCCTACATTTGACTTCCTTCGGTGCTGATTATACGAGCGGAGCTGGCCCGGTTTGGGATTACACGACCAGGATCCAGCTAGCTCGGTTAGCTGGAAACCCAGTCAAGATGGGTAACGTTGGGATCAAAGTCAGCTCGGCAAAGCGAACCAACTCGGCTCATTTAATCACCAATGCGCCGTAGGTTATATACTCAGACAAACAGTCAATACCAATATTAGAGACCGACACTTCAAAATATTTTCTACATAATGATGTGATCAACAGAAATTCATAGATTAAAATAAACTCAAAAAGATCAGAGTTGATTGTGATAGATTATCACTTGAAAAAGACACCTAGTTAACTTGATTCAATAAAACTTGCCATTGTTCTGGCGTCAGAGCTTTGTGGTGTAGCGGTGAGGTAGGGAATTTAGTTATTGAAAGGGCCGGGTTCGATTTCGGATCACTTCTTTATTTTTTCTTTCTTTGGTTTTATTTTTATTGTGTTTTTTTTTTACAACAACATCAACCGTTTAGAAAAGGGACAGCCAAACTTTACAACTATGTATAATTTTGATTTTTTTTTCTGTGACTAAATGATATATACTTTATAAGAATGAAATATACCTTACTATCTTTATTTAATAAAACTTGCCGTGATTCTGACGTCAGAGCTTTGTGGTGTAGTGGTAAGGGAGTAAGATTATGTGTTGAAAAGTACTAGGTTCGATATCGGTTCTTTTCGGGTTATGATTTTTTGTTTTCTTTGTTTTTATTTTTAATTTGTTCTTTTTTTGCAACAACATCAGTAGTTTAGAAAAGGGAAAGCCAAACTTTACAAGTATATGTAATTT